ATGGTCATGGTAGGAGAGGCTGTGGGAACACCAGGTCAGCAATTTTGAATGAAGCTGTTAGATGAGCTGTTCCAATATCTGGGGTGCAAACATACCTAGTATAAATGGACCAAAACAGTTGCCATATAAAGTTGAAGGAGCATAGCTAGTGATGCTGTAGGAATCAGCCAAGTCCCACCCATTGATGACGAGGGTGTGTAAAGGGTCTTCACAGGATCCAGGCGCTTTATGACTGACCTTGGAGAAGTCACTTATGATACCACATGCATTCTGCAAATGAAATGTACCCTACATTGCATCTTGATACAGTGTTGGGGTGAGTATGGGGGAGATGGAGAAGTAATACAGTATGGGGTGAGTGTGTACTTAATGATTGTGCGACACACTGGGACTGAGACACAAGTACAACAGAGAAGATGATGAGCTGAGCTGAGATGTGACAATGGATTAAAAAAAGAAATGGACATGATTGCAAAGGGTGGCTGGCCTAAGCAGTGGGGTTGGAAGACATTGAGCCAGAGCTGCTGCCACTCTTCATGAGCTCTGTGAGTTGAATCGTGAGTCAAAGGGTTTCGGCCTCCCTCATGAAGGCATTTTCTTTGGCATTCTTCAGCTCGATATTGAGCTTCCAGAGCTCCTGCTCCCTTTGATGCTTATCCTCCACATCTTTCCACTGCATCCTGAGCTGCTCCTTCCTCAACTCAAGCTCCTGATCCTTCAGCATATATTGCATTTTTCCAGGTACTGCACAGTCTTACCAGAAGACAAGGATGCTAGTATTGACTCAGCCTCTTGACTCAAGTCAATGACCTGGCTTTGAAGTTGAGACTTGTTGCAAGTGACTGGGAGAGAACTTGCCTCCATTGATGTTGTCTTGGATGATGAGGACCACGGGGTCCTTGCAACAGCCTTCCCCTTGCAGGAAGAGCTAGATGATGATGATGCAGAGGAAATGACACTTCCAGTGGAAGTGGGGGGACAAAGGTATGGCAATTGGTGGAATGCAGAGTGATTATCTGAGAAAGGTGTGTGAGACTTGCAAGGGAGGGAAAATTGAGACTGCACTTCAGGAGTCAATGGCTGAGGATATGACTGCTGATTCATTAACAATGATCCATTAGTGATGTCCCAATAGAAATGCACCTGATCACCATGAACTGACACTGAGTCCATGTTAACATCCTCTCCATCTCCAAAGCCAGGGTCTGTGCCTTCCAGATCAAAGATACTATCAGCAAATTCATCCCCCTCATTCATGACTAGATCACCAACATGAGACATCCTCTTGTTGACTTCACCATCCTCCAGATCTCGATTGCCATGGATTTCCTTGGTCCCAGTATTTGAAGGGGTACCTTCATCCACCAGAGTGGCAGGTGACCCCACTCCCAAGTCTGAAGTCTTCTGCATACTGGATGATTTATTTTGGACAATGGCTAAAAAAATCTTCAGTGTGATTTTTGTCTGGCTCAGAATTAATTGGGTCAGAGTCGAAGGAGGGGTTGCCCTGCCAGATGGAATGCAGATCATCATACCAGTGTAAAGTGTTGAGAACAGCTTCTGTAATCATACACATCAGCGACTGTAATCCCACTAGATCAATTGATAACTTATGATGGAGATTTGCATAGCTTGCATGACCAGGCATAATGCCTTCCCCTGATTGTTTAAAGTGTGCATGGCACTTGCGATATGATCCCTTCAGCCTAAATGATCATTAAAAAATCACAGATAAAATATGAAGAGGAGACTGATGTAGTGATGTGGTTGCCTATGCTAACTTGGAACTTAGCAGCACCCACCATGTACATGTCCTTGTAGTAGGGGTCATTCTTGAATACGACTTTGGCAATAATTGCTTGAACTTCTTTCTTGTTATGGCCCACTGGCCCCTTGTCAGGTGAAGGTGGTGAGATGGTTGTGATCTTATCACTAAAAAGGATTCTCCGGTTTGTGGGATGGGTGAGCAACCAGTTGATGAGTATATCAGTACAAGGAACATCCCAGTTGATGTTCTTCAGCTGAAGACCTTCTGTAGTAGATGCGTCACCAGTAGTGGTGACAGCCTGCTGGCTGGATGAAGCCAGGTTCTTGCCCTTGGTTCTGCCATGAGTAGATCTACTGCTCAATCCACAACCAGAGCCTGAATTCCTGGTGGGTCTGTCAGATCCTCCTTGATGGGCTTGTTCACTTGAAGACACCATGGGCTGACCTGAGATTGCTTGCAGGCAAGCAGAGCACTGAATGTGTGGTCATAGAGGAGACATAACTTTTCAAACTCCACAAGGCCAATGCCAGTTGCAGATGCCATTCCAGAACAATTCCAGAGCACTTCCAGTGCCACCTTGAGTGCCACTATTCTAAAGGGCCACTCCAATGTGAAACACAAGAATGGTTCCAGCACAGTGGTGACATAACATCAAGGTGAGTCCATAGTATGATTTGAACTAGATGAGATCTGAATTGAGTTGTAACCATCAGAGTGTTTCATCAGGTGCTTGAAGCTTGTATCTCACCACCTGTCTATGGATCTTATGTCAAACTCCCAGGCCATAATGCTCCTATCCCACCAGAGATTCATGGCCAGCCAAAGTTCTACACTTTTTTCAAGGATGCACTTGGTGCCATTGATGGGACTCATATTGCTGCTCTTGTGCCCACCCACATGCAAGCCCCCTATCAAAATCACAAGGGATTTATCTCACAGAATGTGGCTTGCATCCTGCAGTTTTGACATATGCTTTCAATATGTCCTCAGTGACTGGGAGGGCAGTGCTGCAGACAGTTGCATCTATCATGATACTCATGAGAGGGATTTTCACATTCCCCCTTGCAAGTACTATCTTGCTGATGCAGGTTTCCCCTCTTGTGATGCTCTGCTTGTCCCATATCATGGGGTCTGCTACCATCTCAAGGAATGGGAAAGATCAGCAAATAGGTATGTCATCACATGGTTCTTTATTCATGTACCAGCATTGAATGGGTATCAGACCTCAGAATCCAAAGGAGCTATTTAACCTTTGACATGCATCAGCTCGCAATGTAGTTGAGCACATATTTGGTGTTTCCAAGCATCGTTTCCCCTCCCTGAAAACACCTCTTGAATTTTCCATCAAAGTGCAAGCCAAGCTAATTCATGCCATATGCTTCCTTGTCAACTTTATTTGCACTCATGATCCTGATGATCTCAGGGACAGTGATGATGTAGAAGGGTTGGAGGATGTGGGGAGCTCAGAGAATCAGGGATACACCATTGATGACCTTGGAGGAGAAATTTCCCCTGCAGAAAAGACTAGGGCTGACAGATGACAAGACAACATTGCAGATGCAATGTGGACAGAGTTTCAGAGGTATCTAGCTGAACAGTAGGTACAGTTGATCTAGGTACTCAAGAATCAGAGGAATAGAAATGTTCAAGCTGTTTCTGTAAATAAACTGACCAGGCACCCTTCCTCAAGCTGAGATACCCCTCCAAAGCAGCCTGACTTGTGCCAAACAAGTCAGCAACATCAGCCATCTTATTATCAGACAGACCTTCCTCCTCTGAAGCAAGGTGAATTGCAGCCATGTGTCACTGTGGGAATGTCACCAGAGAGGTTATGAACAAAGTGCCTCCAGCTGGTGCCTCAGTCATTGATGATGATGGCCTTGCAGCCACAGCATCAGCAAGGGACAAAAGTGCATCACTGACAGAGGTGATTGCCTGGGGGCCAGATATATGGCCATGGTGTGAGGTAGTTGCTGTCCTCTTGGCTGGGGTTTTTGGGAGGGGGGAGAGCTGCATTGCAGAGCACTTGCAAGACATGGATGTTGGCTTATTCTGGGTCAGACAACATGTTTAGTGGGCAAGAAGTATTCACACTTACCTCAATTGTATTATCCTCAGACTCCATGTCCAAGTCAGTAAGGGTGGCATCACCTACATCCAGGCCATCAAGAGCATCTACAGCTGAGATACAACTAACAGGATGAAAGGCTAGACTACCAGTGGCAACTACACCATCAAGGAGCTCTGCAATGGCATCATACAGAGGGAATGGAGTGGTCTGCCAACACTTCACACTCTTATGAATCTATTGATAGTTGTCAGTATAGAAACAGCCAGGTAATGTGGACTCACTTCAATGTAGGCATCCCAGACCTCCTTTGTGGCATGCACCATCTTGGTCTCCTCATTCCACCCAAACCCAGATGCCTTTTGAAGCTCCTTGACAACACCCTAGTCCTTCTTGAGCTGGGGCATTCAGTCAGCATGATAGACTCCTTGACAACCAAACTCACCTTGGCCCAATGTGTTTTGCACCATTCAACAGTTTTTGGAGCTTCACCTGACTTGGTTTCACTGCCCTGAAGGGCCTTCTCAACCTCAACCCAGGCCTTGCACTTGAATCCACTATCTGTTGCGAGTATGTTGTCCTTGGCTTCGAGGAGCTTGCTGACAAGAACTGACTCATCAGCATTGGACCATGACATGGCATCTGCCTTTGTTCGTGGTGTGGCTGTGCCACCTGTTGCGCCAAGTTCAGCTGTGGAAACTTGAAACTCCTTCGCAGACTTTTTGGCCATAAGGACTTGGGACAGAAGGTGACAGGAAGACAAACAGAACAACTATGCTCTGGTAAAATAAGGGCTACTGAACAGCAATCAAAATTTCCCTCATGTTGTGACATTTGACAGACCACAATGAGGCCCATCAAACACTCATCAGGTAATATTTCACTTAATCAAATTTTCATGATTTCATTTGAGTTTTTTGCAGGAAAAATCATTCTTAATTGCATTACCTGAATGGGCCCTAATGTAAATCAAAGCAAAAATACAGTAGAAAAGATAAAATAACTAAATCCCCTTAGTAGGGAGTGCCTATTCCCTACACTGGCACAACACCAATGCTGTGGAAGCTGTCCCAGCACCTATGCCATTGTAATGTGTTCTGGCACAACACCAATGCTATGAAAGCTGCCCCAGCACTGGTTCCATGTATTCCAGCATATCCCCAATGCCATGAGTCCATCATGCAAGCTATCCCAGCACCACTGTAATGTGTTCTGGCACAACACCAATGCCATGGAAGCTGTCCTGGCACCTATGCCATATGTTCTGGCACATCCCCAATGCCATGAGGCCATCATGCAGGCTGTCACAGCACCATTGTAATGAGTTCCAGCACATCCCCAATGCTATGAGGCCATCAGTCAAGCTGTCCCAGCACCAATGCCATGAATGCCATCCTGGTGCCAATGCCATAGTGGTCCTAGCTGTAGTGTCTGTGGGTGCATCTTCAGATCCTGTATCAGCAGTCTACCCAATTGCCATCTTCAGAATTAGTGCTCACCTGGAAGCTGAATCCCTTGAGCCTCATCTGTACCCAACTCTTTCCCCTTCCCCTTATCCATGGGCTGTCCTCGTGCTTGGCCCTTGACAAAGGCCTGGTAAACTCTGCCATGACCTTGTAATATGGGTGAGACTTAGGCTGGTGATGAAGGCAATACCATGCATGATCCTTCATATCAGCCTCTTGTGCCATCATCATCTGGTTGAAAGGCAGCCACATCTGCATGGCAAAGATTGTTGCCAGGTCAACCATGTGCATATTGATAGCAATAAGATGCAGAGGGATCTTGAATGCTGGGAGTAGATGTTCAACAACCATGCAGACCATTCCCTACATAGATGTCAGGAATGGATATCATGGCTGTGATTTCACTTACCAGCTGGGCCCACACAAGCTGAGCCACTTTGCCCCAGTGCTTAGCATCCCAGCCCCAAAGTCCTCTCAGTGCCTGCATTGTAACCCTGGCAGCCTCCTCGACCATCCACTTGGCATTTTCAGTGGTGATGACTGGCTGGATGTTGTCAGTTGATTGTGCCAGGATGAAGGTGCTGGTGTTGGTGGTAGACATAGTGCTGTTAAAGCTTAGGTGTGCAGGTGGTGGGTGCTTGAGTGGTGTGGTGAATTCACTGGCTAGCACACACCATTCAACAGGCTTACATAAGCACAATACAAATGCTCACTCTGGTGATGCTGTGATTTACAATATTCAATGTACTGGTTTAACCATTGAACATATTTTGGTGGGAGTAATGTATGGCAGTTGACAGTCATTCCACTAAGTGTCCCATTTCCATTATGTATGCACTTGCACATCCTGCATGATGACTGGTGAAAAAATATTGTGTAATACAATCTTATCACTGGTACCAAAATCATTCTCAAACATTGGTGTAATCCCCATGGCACCTACAACATTTTGAACTTTCATATGGCTCCCAGAAATGTTAGATTCAGTTCCAGCAGTCCAGATAAACTCTGTAAGTCAACTGGTCCAAGGACCATTACTTCTAATGACTGTGGCAGTAATTCCATCATGCCATGATATGCAGCAGCTCACATCTCTTGATGAGGATGAGGAAATGTTTACTGAAGATGACCTGCTGGATGTGCCATCATCCCTGTTACATGATGTGAGTCAAAGTGTGGAAAGGTGGTGAAAACCAACCAAAACCAACACCAAAGACAAATATGAGTGAGTGGTGGTTTACCTCTGCAGAACCTGGAGGGCAGAGAAACCTAAAGTGGGGGAAATTTCAATGGCAGGTGCTCCTAGTGCAAGTTGATGATGAGTTATGCAGGAGTGGATGGATGACTAAGCAGACTTGCTGACTAAGTGTGGATGAAGCTTCAGATAATGATGGAGGTAGATAGACCCCTTTGTAGAGCCTCAACTACCAATGATATGAATGAAGACAGATAGACTCTTCTGAATGAGCCTCAACTGTTGACAACAAGTTATGCTGAGCTGAGCTGAACTGACTGCTGAGTGAATGGCTTCTGGCTCACTGGGGGTGTAGCTAAGTACATGGGGGTTTATATACTGTGGGGAGCATAGCTCATGACAAACAAGGCACAAATGCTTGGTAAGTAATGAGTAAGGACTGAGTAACCATGATGAGTAGGCAAGAAATGAAAAGTAAGCAAGCAAAGAAGATTGGTAAGTTTTGGCAATGAACAAGTCAAGGACTGTCAAAATATCACAGAATGAGTCAAACAGAGTCAGAAACTGAGTAAGTGCACTGATATCACATTAGGGGGTGGCGATGCAAGTCAGATCTTGGCAGAGACATCTCTAGATCCAAAGATGGCATGACAGATAGATGGTGTTTCCAGACAGGGAAGTATTAATTCCAGAATTGAAGGGCATGAGTCAGGCATCAAAGGGGCTAGGGCATTGGGGGTCTGTGGGGCAATGGGAGCATAAGTGATCACATCTCCCACCCTTTCATCCTCTCAGCAAAGTTAACAAAAGCTTCATGAATGAGGCTCTGACAGAGGAGGAGGAGAAGGGGGGACATCTTGTGCTGGATCTTGCAGTAAGAAGGCAAGATGCATGTCATGCTCATCATGGATGCAATCAGGGAGGGCAGAGAATAGTAGATTATGCTGCAGCTGTCACAATGTAGTGAGAATGATGGACAAGATTGGAATAAAGACAGTGCAAGGAACAGGGAGGAACAATCCATATGCTTCATCAAGAGGGGAGACCAAAACAACCACACAAGACCTTTCTAACTGAGTGACAGACCTGAGGTGACCAAAGAATGTCCTTCTGGAATGTCATACTGACAAGGAGAACATGCTGACAAAGCTACATGGGATGAGATGGGGCTGACGAATGATGGGATGAACCAGGGGGTTTCAGGACAGAAGCTGGTGGGAATGCCTGACAGATATATGTAGCCACTGTCTCTGGCAAATGAGACAAGCAGGATGATCAACAAAGAGGCAGCCATGATTGATGGACTTAGCAAAATGAGCATCTGATGGATGGAGTGCTGTAGAAATGCATAGGGTGCAAGGATCCTCTCCAAATTTGGAAGGCAGAACTGCATGGCTGAGCACTTTAAGCAAGTGTGAGAATGGAGTCAATATCTTTGGAAATGGTGGAGATATGATGAAAACTGGAATGCCATACATGGGCACTAAAAACCTTTAATGCACACTTAACTCGCTTCCTCTTTCCTCCTTAGCACTGATGACCTGTTCTTGTGTGAAGGATGACTGCTCACATCCAGCAGTCTTTCTATGCATGAGGCCTTTAGTCTTCATCTGCATGGCATGGGTGTTGCATGCAACTTGTTGACAAGTTAGGCAGAGTTAGCTGTAACCATGTCCACAACACCTTTGGTGTGTGACAGCAAGCCACCTTTTGAGCTGTCCCCAGCTCAACCAACATGCACAGCTGGACTGGAACCCTCCTTCCAGTCCTCTGGTTTGCCCAGATCACCATTGATAGAGCCAGCATTGGAGTCATTGGCACTGTCTCCCTCCTCAAGCAGCCCATTGGTTGAGCCTCCTTGGGACTCCATATCAACACACCTCTCTGACAGCACCCCATTACTTGAGCTAGCATGGGACAAATCACCACCACCTGTTGCCCCAGGTATGCCATTGCACAAGCCACCTTGGGGGTTGTCCCCACCATTTCAGTCCCCACTGGTCAGTCCTTTACAAGAACTGGCATTTCAGTCACCTGCTGCCACAAGATCATCAGCTTACATCTACCCAACTCAAGCAGCTGGCCAATCATCATGACCATTCATCCTATTGCATGAGCCCCAATTTTGGTCCTTAACTCCCCCTGTGTCACTAGCCCATTGCAATCCTATCCCAGTTCCCAGCCCAACAACATTCACATTGCCTGGTGTGAGTCAAAGTGTGGTTCAGTGGTGAAAACCAACCAAAACCAACACAAAAGACAAAAAGAGTGAGTGGTGGTGTGCCTATGCAGTACCTAGATGGTAGAGCCTGTTCTTTGGGAGGGTTTTTGCAAGCTACAACACTCAAAGATGAGTGCTGAGGGTTGGGGGTGCTCCTGATGAAGAAGAAGCAGGAATGTGAGAGAATGCAATAGGGTAGACTGCTGTCAGCCTACAGAAGGATGGATGATGACTTAATTCAATGGCCTAAGCTGCACTGAGCTCAGGGAGGGCTTGGAGCAAAGTATATTGATGATAGACAAGGATAAGTGAAGTAGACAATAGTTAGACCCTTAATAAAGTCTCAACTATCAAAGCTGCTGAATGAATTACTGAGTGATGATAAAATGCAAGCAAGAGGGGCTCTCTGATGTCTTCCTTTTTGCTATCTAAGTACAGTGATTTATATACAGTACAGGGGTGTTGCCCTTGGAAAACAAGGTGCAAACACTTGGTAAGTGATTGGTAACTGATGAGTAAGGAATGTGAGTGATGGGTAATCAGTCTTGGAATAGCATTGGTAAGCATTGGTAAGGATTAGCAAGCCAAAAAGCAAAGAATCAGTAAGCACAGTCAAAAGATTGGTAAGTATTGGCAATAGGTGAGTCAAAGACAGTCAGAATGTCAAAGTATGAGTCAAGTAATGTCAGGAACTGGGAAAGTGCACTGGAATCGCATTAGGGGGAGGCTGTGCATGTCACATCTCAAAGAGATCACTTCTAGGCCAAGGTGGGATGACAGAGAGGCAGTGCTGATCTGATGCCAACATAGTACATCCAAAAGTGGACAGGGTGAGTCAGATGTCAACAGGGGTCAAGCTTTGGGGGTCTGTGGGGTGACAGGAGCATAGGGGATCACAACCCTCCCCCCCAAACCATCCTCTCAGTGAAGCAAATAAAAACTTCATGAATGAGGCTCTGTTGGAAGAGAGGATGAAGGGGGAGTGTCTTCTGCTGTATCTTGCAACAAGGAGGCAAGATGTGCATCATACTCATCATGGATGTGATCAGGGAGAGTGGAGAACAGTAGATTATACTGTAGCTGTCGCAATCTTGGAAGAATGATGGACAAGACTGGTATGAAGACATTGCAGGGAGCAGGGAGGAAGGATCCATATGCTTCTTGGACTGGAGAGACTGAAATGACCACATAAGACCTTTCCAAGCAAATGACAGACCTGAGGCAACCAAAGAATGTCCTCCTAGAGGTCATACTGACAAAAAGAACATGCTGTCCAAGCTGGATGGGCTGAGAGGGCACAGACAAGGGTGGGATGTACCAGGATGCTTCAGGATGGAAGCTGGTAGGAACTCCTGGTAGATATATGTAGCCATGGTCCCTAGCAAAGGGGACAAGCGAAATGATTGATGTAGAGGTAGTCATATCAGAAGAATTTAGTGAAATGAGCATCTTTTTGGAGGGAGTGCTGTAGAGATGTGTGGAGTGCGCAAATCCTTTCCAATTTTGGAAGGTAAGATTGCATGGCTGAGCACTACAAGTGAGTGTGGGAATGGTCTTGGTATCTGCAGAAATGGTGGAGATATGTCAAAAACTGGAATGCCATACACAGGCACTTAAGAATTTTAGCCAGTGCTTAACTTGCTCCCTTTCTTTTTCTCTGGCACTGATGACTTGTTCTTGTGTGAGGGATGACTGCTGACATTTCTGGCTGTCCTTCTTTGCATGAGGGCTATGGTCTTCATCTCCATTCATCAGCTGTATCCATGTCCACCTCACCAAACACCTTTGGTGTGTGACAACGTCCTCAACACTGCTCCCAGCAGGCATCTCACAAGCATTATAGGGAATATCAGGTGAATTCAGGTGATGATGATTTGCCACACTCACAACAGAGAACCCACTGCAGGTATATCCACATCATTGTGTTCTGCATTTTGTAACTAACAATTACTAGTGTTGTCCAGTATGTCTATCAGGAGCCTCCACATAAGAGGCATCATCACCATGATTCCAACAATGAAGATCACCATGTGGTGCAGTAAGCACACTAAGCAGGTAGGTCATGTTTCACTCATTGTCTTGTGTGAATCTTATGTTTGGATGATTGCCCCTCATAGTCTTATACCATTATTCACCACCTATGCAATCATTTGGCTGACATTCCTTGTGACTCCATCTTTTGCCC